CACATTAAAAATTGCAGGAATCCAACCACTTTCCACCTTACAAGATGAAAGAACTCAAGGCAACAAGAACTCTGTCCCCTTCTTCAGAGCCACCCAATTGAAACTCTTCCCAAATATTTGAGCAAAGGCATCCAACAACCACTTGCATAGGATCTGCCGAACTCAGCAAATCTGAGCAATTTTATCCAACAGATGCCAAAAAAGTCTTGAGAGAGGCCTTGCGTGAGCTCCCCCCTTTACCAGGAAGGGACCTAATCACTTGAAACAGCTCTTGGCCAGCTATTGGCAGATACAATAAGGAAAATTAAGCTTGTTTCACTGCTCTTATTACTACAAGGCAAATGCTAATAAAGGCTCTCGCCTATACTTGGATCAGGTTTGTTCTTTGTCTTTCTCTACAGCACTCTAAATATTACTTGTTTTATTTAATCTCCCAAATCCCTCCTCAGTAATTAAAGGGCTACAGGCCCACTATTACAGGGACTCCACACAGGAACAGCCCATTCCAAGATTCTTATTGCATGTTCACTTCAGGCCATAACTAACGCCTCTAGAAAATCATGTACTAACGCTAAAGGAACATTGCTGAGTTCCCTTTAAAACCCCACTGGGTCTATCAGTCTCCTGGGGTGAGATGATCAAATTAGCCCTTCTTCCTTGCAATGGTCAGGACTACAGGAAGTAATCTGTTCATGGCAAGAAACTGATGTAACACCCATCAACACCTGATCATATTCCAATGTCCCATAGCAACAACAACAATCAAATGTGGGACTTTCTCAAGTCATTTTTGACTCTAGCAGAAGAATGATGTCCCAAGGACTATCAATTTAGGGAAATTCCTTGCCATTTCAATCACAGAATCAAAAAGTTCAAGTAGGAATATTGTTACATACTGTAGAAGGAAGGGAGGGAGGCAAGATGTGGTCTTGGCTGATCCTTGAGGCCCAAATTCACAAACAAGGCTTTACATCCAGCTATGTCTGCTGCAGCATCTTTCAGGGTTAACAAAAACTCCCAATAGCAACAGCTGTATCTCCATCCATTCCTGGACTCATGGCTGATACCGCAGGACTGATACTGGTGCTAGGAAGTGTGAGCTTGAGGCTACTCAGATTTGCTGCAATGAGGGTGTCAAGACCGACTCGAACTTTCACCTATATTCCGCTTTGCTCACAGCTTGACAAAGAATACAGTGGTGGTGGATTGGAATGCAAGAGTGGGGGGAATGGCATCCAAACATTGTCAGTTCCTATGAGACATTGCTTCCCCCTCAAGGACACCTAGAACAGATGTAACAGGATGGCCGGCTGGTTCTCATAACAAAATGAACAGAAGTGATTGGTGGATATGATGGACTATGGGTGGCCCATGGGGAAAAGGGGATTAACTGCTCGTGCTTGTGCGCAGGAAGCCAGAGCTGGTTTCAGTTCTTCTGTACTCTTGGTAAAAATAATGACGGAGGAGTTTCTTTTCCTGGATTTACCTACTAAACAGTTGACATTAAACGAGCTCTTATGGATTGCTGGCGCTGTTGTGGCTTGCCTCAATGCTGGGACTTGAGGCATACTGGTACTGCTGGGGCTTGAGGTGACCAGTGCTGCTGGGGTTTGAAGTCAGTGCTGGGGCTTGAGACTAGCTGGCATTGCTGAGCCTTGCTGCAGCCCTGGGCTTGCTATGGCACTCTGGCTTGTGCTGGCCCTGAAATAAAGAGCTGAAGCAGTGGTAGCTGATTGAGACTGCTGAAGGCTACCACCGTTGAGGAGTGCTGCCTCACGTCTTGTGCTTAGGCAAGCCCACCAATTCCTAGTGCCCACCTGCCCAATTGGTCCATAGATCTGCCGCTCTGCTTGGCTGGAGGTTCTGCCTCTTCCCACATCATAGTCACAGAAGGTCTTAACTTATTGGTCCACATGACAGCAACTGGGACTGCCCGAATTTCAGTCACTAAGCAGTGAAGTCACGAGATGTCATGCTTTATGACTGCCTCACTTAGTGATGGAAATCCCAGTTCCATTTGCCATTGTAACCCAAGGATTATCTGTATTTTCAACAGCATTGGCTGGAAAAAAACTATTAAATGTTTATTTTATTGCTCAAAATTCAAACCTTAAAATATTGTTACCAGCTTTAGTAAAAGCAAAACATTTAGATAGAGTGAAGAACTATAAAAACATGAATATGATAGCTGAAATCTGGCTGCACAGTTTTCCATTATTTTCAATTTTGAACAAGGAACATTTGATGTAAATAAAACATAGAATATCCCCAAAAGTTCCAAATGCAGAAAAACAAAAACAAAGCAAACACTGGAATATCTTTGGCAGGTGATGTGGCCCTGCCTGTATAAGACTACCATCCCTTAACTGGATTCCTAACAGCACCCCCCAACTGCAGCTTTTGTTTACATAACACTTTCTAGTCCTGCCTTGAAGATCTCAAGTAAATATATTGCAATAGATCATACAATCTTGGGATTAGATATCAAATAAATTGCTTTCATGTAATTTACTATAATCTTGCATCTATATTTACAACACTGAAAAAATGGAAACATAACCTTAGATAAAGCTTGACTTTGCTATGAGAGATTTCTTATTTAAAAAAAACACCTAAACTCACTAATTGTACAAAGAAAAAAGTTGTATAAGATTCACTGATAAAAAAAACATATAAAAAGGCAAGTGCTAGATTAGATCATCTAGCCCAGCATTCAATTTTAACAAGGTTTCTAAAAAGTTAATTAGAAAGTATGAAAACAGCCCTTCTGAAGTGTTTGTTCTTAACACTTGGCATTCAAATATATACTGAACCTAGCTATGTAGGGTAATGGTAATTGATATACACACATTCTGCAGAAAAATAGTTTAATCCACAATTGAATTCATTTAAATTAGTGCCATCTTTTGGCAACTGTGTTCATAAATCAATCAATCTGTGATGTCATGATTTTATTGCCTTCTATAGCTTGGTACATGAGAGAAAAAAGCCTTGAAACATTTTTTTCTCTATATTATCCAAGGTTCAACAGATATTGCATAGGAAGAGAGATTGATCTGCAAACCTGCATATTGTTTCTAGTTTCTACAAAAGAACAAATATGCAAAAATGGTTTAAAGGCAGGCCACATTTTTCTTTTCATCTTTTTCTAGATGTTTTGCTGATCTGAAAGTTCTTGAAACCTTAAAAACTTATACACTATTTTGTACACTTTAGATTGACCTAATGAACATCTTAATAGTAAGTTAGTTATTCAATTTTCTTTTAACTATCAATGTCCAGTGATTTTATTATCTTCACAGAATGATTTTGTAAGACTCACTAATTTATGTCTAATTACTGATAATCAAAAAATAATAGAGACAATCATCTTTTTGCATAGGTGTAGATTGTACACTGCATTCTTGCCTAATCCAATATACACAGGAACACTTATACATTTTCTAGCAATAGAATATCCTTAGTATGATGGTGATACTTCATTGAGATACTACTCTGAGATTTGAATGATGCTGTCATAATTTCATTCTAATGTTTGGAGGCCAAAGGGGCAAGGATGGAAAAAAATGGGCTTTAATCCTATCAAGACTGAGTGCCTATGAGTTTTGATCCTCTGATCCCGGATCAACAGATTTGCTATTATTAGTTCTAGAAAGAGTTACATCCCTCATTCAAAATCAGTGCATAATATGGGGACTTTTCCTAAATTCACAGTTCTTGCTGGAGAAGCAGGTGGCAGCTGGGGCCAGGAGAGCCTTTGCACAATTTGCCTGTAGGCCAGACGAGGAATAATGGATGGAAACTGAACAAGGAGAGATTTAACCTGAAAATAAGGAGAAACTTTCTGACAGTGAGAACAATCAACCAATGGAACAGCTTGCCCTCGGAAGTTGTGGGAGCACCATCACTTGAGACTTTCAAGAAGAGATTGGACTGCCATTTGTCAGAAATGGTGTAGGGTCTCCCACTTGGGCGGGAGATTGGACTAGATGACCTACAAGGCCCCTTCCAACTATGATTATCTGTTATATCTGTTATCAATTCCAGTTTTGTGTTAATCGGGAGGCCTGGTCAGAGTCTCTCATACCTTAGTTGTCTCTGGCCAGGTTACTGCAATGTATTCACTGCAGATGAATATGCAATGTATTCCTTCATCCAGAAGCTGCACTGGATCAGAATGCAGTGATGTAGGTAGTTATAAATGTGGAAACTCTACTACTTTCAAACTACACTATTTCCCTTAGGCAATTCAGGGTGCTAATAATCACCTATAAAAGTCTGGGTGGTTTGCAGGACCACCTAAAATTAGGTTCCTGCCAATCCTGCATGTTTAACCAGATGGGCATGCATTAGGTCCTTTCCTTGAAGCAATGTCATCTGATGAAAGCTAGGAGTGCCTTTTCTGTGGCAGTGCTTACTCTTTGAACAACTCCAGCCATCTGAAATTCAGTTGGCCCAACCTTATCAATCTCCAGGAAGGCTTTAAAACTTGTTTTCTTTGGGAGATGAAATGTGCGCTAATGGCTTAACTGTGTGCCATTAGCATACACATTTTTTTGCTATGTTTTCGGTTTTAATTGTACTTTTTTCCCTTTGATTTTATTGATGCACACAGTTCAGAGTCATGACATGCATACTAAACAGCCATATAAATGTTTTAAATAAATAATATGGGTGGCACAACAATCTATCAATTTGGAAACATCCATAGTTATCCTCCATGGATTGTGATGTTTGTTTCAAGCATAGCTATTGCTACTGGAAGTTCCCACTATGGTTTTTCTTTCTTTCTAAAGAAAGCATTCTCATTGAACAATGGAAAATAGTTCTACACCTCTATTTTTCTCAAAATGAATGGTATAGTATCATAAAATTTTAAAAATACAACACATCTATTTAGAAGTGTATTATAATATTAAAGTAATGTGGGTACTATAAATGACAAACTTATAAATTCAACAGTATTTCTTTTTGCAATTTCAAAAACTACAGATTTGTACCTGTTCTGCCTTTCAACAATTTATTTTGATAATATTGCCTTTCCAGTTGTGGATTTGCACCAGGACGTAACAATGCTTTTCCTGATCCTCGGTTACTTGTAACAGCCACTGGTTTTCCTGCAAATTACAATTAAAATGTAAGACAAATTACATTGTATCCATTTTTACAAAACTGAATATATTCAGTTTGTTTCTGTTTTATAGATCTCAATTATTCATTTTAGTATTATTTAGAAAATTTATATGGCTGCCAAACCTGTGAGTTTGCCAACAAAATACAAAAATTATTATAAAAACACCACCTAAACTGAAAAAGTGTAATAGGATACAAGGTCCAATTCACAACTCCCCAAAACACATAATTGTCTGTGCTTATTCCTGAGGGAAAAGTCAAATTTTCACAGCTTTCTAGAAAGCTGCATATTCACAATCTCTTGGGGAGGCTATTTGGCAGGGGTAGAAGTAGAGAAAACACATCTGCTGCGTCCTGAAGGTGACCTTATTTCATAGAAGAGACTGGAACATATTCACCATGTCAAATCTGGTTAAATGGGTAGAAACTATTTGAAGCGAAGTGGTTCCATAAGTAATCCATCCTTGCACCTGTGTGACTTTAAATGTGACAACTGAATTGCTACTGGAAACTAGTGCTGCTTATGCAGTAAAGCTGTGGCATGGGTAAATCTAGGTGCTCTCAGTAGTGTGTGTGACACTGCACTCTGGACTAGTTAAAGGTTCCAAAAGCTTTTTAAGAGCAGCTGTATGTACAGGATGTTGTATTGATCCAACCAGGAAATGGCTAAGGTGTGGCTGACAGTGATCAAAATCTCCTGATCCATCAACAAGAGTAACTGACTCACACAATGGATTTCTGCAAAGGTCATCCAAGCCACAGCTGCCATTGCTCCTGAAGCAGTAATCATGAGTTCAAAAACCTCAAACCAGATACCAGCTCTATTTTGGGAAATGTAAGTCCATTTCAGATTGCAAGTGGAATGGTTCCAGAATCGGGGGCCCAAAAACTCACAGCAACTCAAGACTTGATGGGGTTGAATTGCAGCCTATTCATATATAGATTTGTCTCCAGCCACTGGTTAAGAGACTCAACAAAATCTCTGTATTTTCTGCAATAGGGATTTGTAACTGGGTTAGTTAAAGCCAGTTATTAAATAGGCGTGGGAAGAGCATTGAGTCCTGAATTACCCCATGTAGCAGAAATCCAAGGTTAGATCTCTCTCTTGCTACTAAAACTAACTGGAATTGTTCCAGAAGGGCAAGAATGAATTACCTCCATCCTAAAACTTCAGAGGTCGTCCACAAGCATGATCAATGCTGGTTTGGTACTATAACATGGGCTAAAACCTAAATGGAAAGTATCCAAATAATCTGCTTTTTCTAGGGTCTTTTAAAGCTCTGATACATCTACTCAGGTTGGGGGTTGAATAGAAGTTGTTCAGAACTGTTGGGTCAAACTTGAGGAGAGCATAGATTAGCACTTGTTTCAAAACAGATTGGACCTGAACAGATTGGACCCCCCCCCCCCGAATTCACCACAGCTTGGATCCAACCACATACACTCCTGGTAGGCGAAGACCAACCAGAATAGGCATGGATCTAAAGCAGGAGTGTCCAACTAGCTGCCTGTGGGCCAGACGTGTCACATGCAGGCCACACCCATGCTAGCTCCGTGAAGAGGAAAAGCGTCATGAAACATCACATGACAGCAATGTGATGCCGCAAGTTTAACACCTATGGGCTAGATGAATGGACATTGGGAGGGCCAGGGGAAAAGGGAAAGTTTTCCTATTCTGCTTGTGCACAAAATTGTTAGAATTGGCTTTTCTACTTCTGTACCCATATGGAATTTTAGTAAAGTTATACTCTTGGTAAAAAAATATGTCCCATGAGTTTCCTTTGCTAAGTTAGCCAGTGGGACATTTGATACCATGGATGAAAATCCTAAAGTAACTGGTTGATTAATCATACTCAACAAGTAGTCAACAAGTGGTATTACATCTGTGTGGAGGAAAGCAAGACTTCGGATACCACAAGGTTCCATTTTAGGCCTAGTACTCTTCAATATCTTCATAATTGACTGAGATGAGGGAATAGAAGGGGAACTCATCAAATTTGCAGATGACACTAAGCTGGCAGAAATAGCAATACCCCAGAAGACAAGGATCCAAAAAGACCTTGACAAACTTGAGTAATGACCTCTACCCAACAAGATGAAATTTAATGTGAGAAAAGCAAGGTTTTACACCTAGGCAGGAAAACCCAAAGGTACAAGTACAGATTAGGAAAAACCTGGCTCAAAAACAGTAACTGTGAGAAGGACCTTGGAAATCCTTAGTGGATGATCACATAAACGTAAACATGAGTGTGCGGCAGCAGACAAAAAAGCTAACACAATCCTTGGTTGTATAAACATAGGCATAGAATAAAAATCACATGAGTATTAGTGCCACTTTATAAATCCTTAGTAAGATCACACCTGGAATACCGCATCCAGTTTTGATCGTCGCATAACAAAAAAAAAGAGATTTTGGAAAAAGTGCAAAGAAGAGCAACTTAGATGATTAAAGGCCTGGAGACTAAAACATATGAAGAACAGTTTCAGGAACTGGGTATGGCTAGTTTACAGAAAAGGACTAGGAATGACATGATAGCAGTATTCCAGTATTTGAGGGGCCGCCACAAAGAAGAGGGGGTCAACTTATTTTCCAAAGCACCAGAAAGCAAGACAAGAAAGAATGGAGAGAAGCAACCTGGAATTAAGGAGAAACTTCCTAACAGTGAGAACAATTAACCAGTGGAACAGCCTGCCTTCAGAAGTTGTAGGTGCTTCATCCCTGGAGGTTTTAAAGAAAAGACTAGACAGCCACCTGTCTGAAATGGTGAAGAGTCTCCTGCTTGAGCAGGGGGTTGGACTAGAAAATCTCCAAGTTCCTTCCAGCTCTATTCTGATTATTATTAAATATCTATGTAGCAACAGACTTTGAACATTCTTTTTTTAAATGAATATCTATTTAAATGAATATTTTAATGAGTAAGTATTTTTTTAAAAATAAACATTTGATTTAGATGTTAATACCAACCTTTTAGGTCTGGTCTATTTCGGATACCAACTGATACAAAGAAACAGTCCATATCTACATGCATTATGCAACACTGAGGTTTGGATGAATTCAAAAAGGATGTACTATCTAAAGAAAAAGAAAACAGACAATTTAATTCTGGCTAAACAACTATCCACTAGTAAAATTGAAAATGTAACCTTAAAACTTAGCTCTCAATTCTTCTTTACTTTTTAACAAAATATAAAAGAAACATCAAACTGTAGAAAAATTTAAAATTGCTCTAACATCTGCCACCTTATTTTCTCATTCTGAAATATTTATATTCTGACCAAAACAACCATACCAGAAGAAATATAGCAAACCAAAATATCAACTATTTCACTGAAAAACAAATATGTAACAACCTTTTATATACAATTTTGAAATATTTTTTACCCAAGTCAGCTTTATTTATTGTAGATTGTCCTGCTTTCAGTTTTTTCAACTTTTCTCTTCCTGGGAAGTTAGCATTATTTTGTTTCTGTAGTGTGTTGATAAACTCTGTAAATTCACATTTCCAGGTAGATATATGATGCAATCTTGAATGAGAGTAAAAATCTGAAATGAAATTGCCATTTGAAGGTTTGGACAAAGGTGAATAATCTTCCTTACTAGGAGCAGGTACTGAAGTAGTGCTTTTTGTGCTTGAAGGCCCCTGAACATTATAGTGATGAGCACCATTTATTTTAATATTACTGTGCAAAGATGAAAAAGATGAATTACTCATAGTCCTGTGCACATTTCTTAAAAGTTCAGTATTTCTGTTGCTTTGTTGCAAATGTTGCGTAGAGCAGTCTCTAAAATCAGTGCTTTCTTTCAATTCTTCATGCACAGGAGACAGTCTGCTTATAACACTTTTGTCAAAGTGTAGCAAACCATCCTGCATCTTTAAGGCACTGTTGGAACTATCACTATGTCCATTAAAAATGGAAAAATTGTCTTTCTGATATATTCCATTCTGTTTGCTTCTGGAAAGAGTTTGCTCCAACTCCAAGAATCTTGTAGTTTCAGCTTCTTTCTTTGATTTACTCACTCCATTTGTTTTCATTTCATTCTCTCCTTCATGCTTCTTTACAAGACTATTTCTAAAATCAAGAAAACGGATAAAGGTTAAATGATTTCCTCTTTTTGTTGTAATCTTATATGAAGACTAATAACTGAACTGGGACTTGGGTAATATTTTCTACATTTAAGATGCTTTTTCTAAATATTTTAATTTTGTTATACATTTGTCAAGCTTTCAATATATGTACATTATACTGTACACATTTTCTTTCATCACCTAATCACGAATGGAATACTACATAAATGTTAGCAGCATGACATTAAAAACCTTACAGCCTATATTTTATGATTCCAAGAATTCCGACTGACATACAAACTCGCTGGTATATCTAGTAACTTGATACATTCAGATCTGGTGAACCTATGGCATGCGTGCCACAGGTGGCACGCAGAGCCATTTGTGCCGGCACTCGAGCTGCAGGCAAAGTTATCTCACTGCACATGTGTATGCCTCACAGATGATTTTCAGCCTGTTTGAGGCCTTTTTCAGCCTCCCAGAGGCTTGAGGAAAGCCTCTGCAGTCGAAAAATAGGCTCATTTTTGTCACTTCCTGTATTTCCAGAAATACCGGAAGTGACGAAACGGGCCTATTTTTCAGGCTGTAGATGCTTTCATCAAGCCTCTGGGAGGCCGAAAAAGGCCTCAAATGGGCTGAAAATCAGCTGGGAGGCACAATGCAGGTAAGGGGGTGGGGTTTGCACGCACATGCGCAAGGGGCATGGAGGGGCATGCATTGCCTTCTGGGTGCTGGCACGCGAGTGCGTGAGCACAAGTGCGCGCACAATTTTTGGCACAGAAGCCCAAGAAAGTTAGCTACCATTGTTCTAGGACATTTGACAGATACTGTTTTATTCCCTGAATTGTTATATGCTATAAAGAAAGTAAGTCCAAGATTTAATTATTTGATGTATACTATACACTGTAATGTAAAATTAGAGATCTTTCCCAGTATTCTGGCATAAGTAAAGGAAATATAAGGAAAAGCATTCAACAAAGGATGGGCTCAGCTGAACATGGGTGAGAGCTATTAAGATCTACACTGTGGCAGTAAGGGTAGCAAAGTAACAATACTTCTCCATTTTTATTGGATCTGCACATTGCTTCCCCATAGCTGTTTCAGATATGGATCCTTGTAAAGGATTAACTCTAATCTTTTGCTGGTTGCGTGGAGGAATTTGCAAATTTGTGAATAAAGTTGCTCAAATTCACTCCCAGTTGGACTCTAACCTTCACAAGTCTAGAAGAGATGTTTGGGAAACAGTCTTATTCAGTTATCTGGCAATGGTTTGAATCTGTTGAACCTGAAGAAGTGGACAAATCCTTAGGATTGTGAACTCAGCCACCTTTAATTCCATGCACTGCCTGGCCTGTGAAACAGCCTGGGCGGTTATCATGTGAGTGGGTTCTGGCAGTGATGAATTCTTCTTGGGGTAGGGGAGTGTTCCTTTATATCTTAAAGAAATACCAAATTATATATCCTCTTGGTCAATTAAATGATGCTTTGGGGGCTGTGAAGGTCTGAGCAATGAGCAGGTGGCAGTCATAGCTAGGAGGGCCTTTGATAGCTCTATCTTGTGCACCTCTAGGCTTGTTTCTTGACTGGCAGACCCTGTTTAGTTACTCATGCCCTTATCACCTACAGATTAGATTACTGCAATGTGGGCTACATGAGGCTGTTCTTGAGGACTATCCAGAAATTTCAAGTGGCATAGAATGTAGCAGCATGAGCAATTATGTCGCTCCTAGAATAGTCAGTTCTTCTTCTGCTCTGCAAGATGCACTGATTGTCAATTTGTTTTCAGGACCAATTGAAGGTACTGGTTTTAACCTTTAATCCTTTCATGACATAAGAACTGGGCTATCTGAGAGACTGCTTCTCCCCAATTATTTCAGCTTGTCTTATTAGATCTGGCAGAGAACTACAGCTACATAGAGCATGTGTGCTCCGCGAAGCTGAGCTTCTGGTTTCTGGTGCGCATGTGCGTGTGAAGACCAGCTGGCTAGCATGCATGCACGTGCCAGAAACCAGAAGCTCAGCTTCCCAGAACGCGCATTCACACTGGGGAGACAGATTTTAAATGACTTTAAGTGGCATCAGATTTTCTAATTATTCACATTCACAATTTCCAGTGCTCCCCACATGCATGCTCCTGTTTTGGCACTTGGTGTCAAAAAGGTTCACCAACACTGATCTAGGCAATCCTTTGGGTTTAAGAACTCCTATTACTATTGGTACAACCATTGATTTCTTCCTCCACAATTGCTCAACTTCAATTTTGGAGCATGGATAATGACTGAACAACTCAAGTGGTTTGTAGAAATCAAGGTGTGAAGTAAAAAAATAAAGGTAAATATTTCTCCTGTCCAGACAGAAATGAAGACACTAGGGGGCGGTGCTCATCTCCGTTTGTTAGCCGAGGGAGCCAGTATTGTCCAAAGACGTTTCTGTGCTCATGTGGCCAACATGTCTATACACTATACACCACGGTGCATGGAACAGACAAGAGCACTGCAACAAATCTATACTAGTGCAAAGAACCCACTTTATATATGTATCAGATTAGATTTTAATATTACATTGTTATGTATACTTATCTAAAAAAATCTTTAATATTGAAAGAAGCTTAATTTAGAGAAAAAAAGTCTTATTAGACTGGTTTCTGGCAAAGATGAAAGCAGCATATATAGCATTCCTTCCATTTTTTTTTCCACCAGAAGAACCCTGAGATATGAATTGGGCTGAAAAAGAATGACTCGCCATGAACTTCCACAGCTGAGGGTAAACTTGAATCTAGGTCTCTCTACTGCAGGAACACTTTAACCATTACAACTGCACTGGGTTTCAGACTGAATTCAATTGTATCAAACTATAGTGTGAGGTGCACTTTGAGATCTTCAAATAATTGAATTTACAATATCAACATAAACTCATCAAAATTTCTCAGTCGTAAACTTAATTTCAATTACTGAATCAAAATAATTACTTACACCCTGTTGAGTCCCACAGAGATATTGCTAGGACCTGGAACTGAATCTTCAGGCTTGCATATAGTATTAAACCAGAGGCCTTTCTGAATACTTGTCTGTTTTGTGTAAAGCTGATAAGGAATATATGAAAGGAGTCGTCCAGCCTTTATGCTGTAACAGAATGTCAGAATTTTAATTACTCAAAAACTTCATGAAAAAATGGTCTTTATATACAGTGGAATGTTTCTTTGTTCTGAAAGCCTTATTAACAGGTGTGCATGTGTAAAGGATATATTATAATCTAAATTCAATTGTTCTTACTTTCAAGAATGTAGACAGATTTTAAATGACTTTAAATGGCATCACATTTTCTAATTATTCACATTATTTCTTTCACACATTCAGAAATACCCAAGATTTAAGCACACTTCATTTGAATAGGAAGCATTCTCTTATACATTTTATTGAAACAGCTTTTGAAAACGTATCAAAATTGTTTCACCTGTGTAATTAAGCTGTTGAGAAACAAAAACTTACATTTCTCTGGGTACACACTAGAGATGCTAATTTAGCAATTTGTTTGGACTTATATGACTTAAAAGAAAAAAAAGAGGCATCAATGTAATTAAAAAATCTTCAAGGAAGCTATACAAGTCAAATTGTTTCTGAATAAAAAGATATTTAAATTTGAATGTGGCAATTAAAAAAATGAAAGAGGCAAGTAACCAGATTTAAGATTTCTGGCATTTAATTCCTTACGTGATGACAGCCAGATGAGGACAGAAGTGATAAGAGAACTGCTTACTTCTTCTGTTGTGTTCCTATCCCTTAGTCCTATGGTCTACCACAGGTTGAAGTATGAGTGAAAGTGGAAACAGAGGTGCTCTATCACAGACTTACTCTCCAACTGATGAAGTCTCTGAGTCTCTTCTAACCAAGTATCTAAAAAGGTTTCAATTTATTTTTAAATAAGGGAAATAATAACACATAAGGTTTTTCTACATTGGCCTGTTATGATTTTTCAATTTATTCAATTTTTATGACTTATCTTGCTAGATCAACATGAAAATCATATAGAGAAGTAATATAGTTCTTTTAATTGTATTTACTACAATTATTTCAAATGTTTTATTTATGTTTAGTGAATCAAGTACAAGTCATTACACAATTTATATTTATAAACCCAGAATACTCTGAAGTGTTACACTGTGATAAAAGCTGCAAACATTCTGTTATACAGAAAAAGAGGATAAACAGTTTGATCTGGGAAAATGAACTGGAATATTATCACAGTTACCAATAATTCTTTTTGATGTACTTTTCATTTAGCTTGCATTTACACTAACAAGAAATTTGGCAAAGATTCAAAAGCCAATCCATTTGAAATTAGGAAAACTACAGTAGGATCACATTACCCAATTAAAAAAAAGAACTTGTTAGTGTTTGTGATTAGGTTTCTATGGGAATGGTGCAATCTTATCTGCTACATTGGGGATGGTCTCGAGTGCAGATTATTTTTTATTGAACTAGAGTAGAATTCAAATTACTGCAGCACAATTGCTTATTTTTAACAACTATGAAGTAATCTAATAAAGTTTAACGCATATGAATTAAAGCAAAAATAAGGAAATTATTTTTATGTTTAAATACAATATGCATATTATGTAATACTTTCTATTTAATTGTCTCTACTTTTAATGTTTTGAATTTTCCACTGGATCTGATCAATACTATTACAGAGACACTAATATTATCTCTAATGAGAATAAGATCATTTAGTGATAAAAACAGAAAACATTTAATATAATTTTTTAAAAATGAAATCAGTTTTTCAGAATGTCTGTGGTATTTTTAAACAAAATTATGGAACTCATATTCAGATTTTTCAAATAGGATTCTGCTTACAATTCTCTAATATTTACCTATCTATTATCCAATCTGGTCGAACTACTTTTTCTCCCTTCAGTTCCTTTATTTTGGCATTTGGAAGATTTGTAGCAATAATGTGCGTTGTTTTGGATCTAGAATAGTATACATGATATTGTCCTCCATGCAACATCATTAGCCGCCTCAATTCATCAGCAGAAGGATCTGTAATAAAAATACAAGATATATAAAAGTATTTTTAAAAAACTATAAACTAACAAACCTAGCACTATGCTTTGGAATTAAGGGCAATTATTCATCTAATAAAATGTTACAGATAAAGTAGAGCGTATATAGTAGAGTATATACTGTAGTTTATTGATAAATATGTCACAATTTCCACAGTTATAGATTTCACAATTCTACCTCCCTCAGTAAAATACCAATTTTGAAAAGTTGCCACAAATTTTTTCATTAAGTTGTTTTTAATATTTGTTTTAATATTTCTTCTTCATTCCGTACCATAAAATAACTACACTAAAATGCTTTAATCTGGAGGATTCCTGTTCAGAATTCCAATAGACTTGCTAATCCTTTGTCCAGGATACTGCATTTTTTTCTGTGTTCCTTGCAATTTTTTATTTGAAATTCAGAAAACAATGCTGACTCCTTTCTGTCATTCATTGCTTGAGTAACATTCAGAGTAGCCATGCTCTGAAATATTGTTAAAAATATTTGTTATTAGCATATACAATGAAGATTTTAAAAAGAATGCTGTATTGTGTAATAATATACAGTATTACATTTTTTTTCTTTTTTATAACTAGACAGCTTGAAAGACACTTCTAACATCTCACAAAGCATGTTTGTTTTTGAAAACTTAACTAAAATATTTTTACTGGGAATCCCACAAGTGCTATCGCAACAAATTATTACATTGGGGTTACATTTTAATATAATTTTTCAAAGTATCTCTTTGGCCATTCCACAAATGCAGTGATGGTGTCCACTCAACTATCAAGACTACAATAAACAAATAGCAAAAGAAGTATTTTTAAGTAGATACCCATCAGTCTTGCTCTTCATTTCACAATTCAGGTAAAAAGCAAAAAAGGAATATGTGAATCTGCAGTTTGCATTTTAGGAATTATATACAGAGGTTTTTTGAAAAACTATGTTAAACTGATCTATATCAAAATGAAATAAGAGTACAGTAAACACTGCTTTCTGGAGCATTTCATTCAAGGAATTTAGACAAGCAAAAACTGGCTCACTAATTCTTTCATTTATAGAAGATTCTGGTTAGAAACAGAATAAAATTACAGCTTTGCCCTTTACCCACATATTAGCATCTTTATCAATTTTTCTTATCCCTAATTATATTCCTAGAGGATATTCTAAAGCGTCTATAAAAATAAAAGCATCACCTGTGAAGCCATTGACAAAGATGGCAACTCCACTGAAAATGCTGGATGATTTTTCATCTTTGTGATGTTGCAGAGCTGCCTCTGAATGAAACTGATTCTCCAGTTTCTGGACTTTGGCAGACATATATCCTCCCTTGAATGGAAAAAATATAAATCTTTAGAGATTTATTATCAACTTGATCACTTCTACAATTATATGAAAAATAGTTTAATAAGCTGTGAAATAGTCATCATGCTAATTCATAACTTATGCTTTAGAAAATATACAGTACTAACAAAACATACTAACAAAATCAAATAGATCATATTATGACTGCTGGGTAATGAGAGATCCCATCCTCTGACATATATACATAGTGTCACTTTCATTTTTCATATGGGAAATGTGGCATGTTTAATCTTTATATGTATTATACATTTTATAAATCTCATGTATTGTACATTTTATAAATCTCATGTA